CAGTCTCCAGTTGGTCATGTTTAGATTGATTCCTAGTCACTGTTACAAATGAAACTGCTTTAAATATTTGTGTACAAGTCTAAATATTTAAATATTTGTGTACAAGTACATGACTAAGAATGGTGTCCATCTTTTCATGTGCTTACTTGCCATCCATATATATCTCTTTCAGTAACATACCTCTTCAAATCTTTTGTCTTTTTAAAGTGCATTGTTTTGTTATGGTTGAATTTTTAAAGTAGTTTTTACAAAGGTTGATGTTCTGGGTTTTGTTTTATGGTTTGTACTTTCGACATCACATGTAAGTAATTCTTAACCCAAGATTTATTACAAAGATTTCTTTCTTATGTTTACTTGAAAACATTTTATAGGCTTAGCATTTGTTTTTAGGCCTATGATCCATTTTGAGTTGGTATTTGATAATTGTATGAAGTATGGATCTGAGCTTTTGCTTTTTTTAAATATTGTTCCAGACCAGTGTAATTTTGAGTCTCAATATCCTTTTTATCTGTTTCCCCATATTTCTGCCTCTTTGTATGTCTGGTAATCTTTGTAGGCTAGGTATTATTAACTTTTGAAGTGCTAGGTATTTTTTATTCCAGCTTCCTGCTGTGAATCGTTTCAGTTACTTAGGAAACAGTTCAGTCCTTGTGGACCTTGCTTTTGTGATTTGTTAATGAGGTCTGGAGCAGTGTTCATTTTAGGGCTGAATACTTTTCAGTACTAAGGTGAGATCTTGCATTTTATACCCATTGCCTGGGGCTCTGATCCCAGCCTACTGTGAGCGATAGGCAGTGTTCCCTGTAAATAGATAGTTCTTCTGGCCTTACATATTGTTTCCTACTGGTACACAGGATAGTATTCCACTGAATATTCAACAAGGGTCCTTTGCAGATCTGAGATGTCTCTTTGTTCGGTGTTTTCCTGCCTGGGACTCTGTCCCAGCAGCAGCCGTTAGCTGTTCTATTTCCATTTCCCTCTCCATAAAACTCCCAAGGACATAAGCTGGGGCAGTTGTATATCCCCCTTGTTTGTTTCCTACCTCTCAGGGATTGCCACCCTTCATGTGAGTGTCTAGTATCTTAAAAATTACTGTTTTGGTTATGTGTTGTTCAGGTTATTTCTTGGTTTTTGAGAGGGTGTTTATTTTGTGGCTATTTTAGAAACAAATTTGATCCCTTTTCCTCCATTACATGAAAATGGAAGTCCTCACTACCTGTTTTGACATCACAGCTTCTCTTACATCCTGTATCCAGTGCTGGCCAGCATAATTCACACCCTAGAAAACTATGCATTCATATTCCTGCCTTTTTGACAGACATTGCTGCTTCCCCTCCTTGCTACCTCTTCCCCTGAGCCTTCCTACTTAGCCCTATAGAAGGGTCTGTTCCTCCCCATCGATGAAGCCCTCCTTTTAGCCTCTCCTTGTCCTATACCTTATGCCTTGTGTGACACTCAGTCACCTCCCATTTGCTCATTTGTAGGGATACTGTTTAGGTTTTGGACTTGGATTATGGGAAATCCCCTCTAAGTGTCTAAGGAACACTACCACCTCAGCACCTCAGCCCTTCTTGGTGAAGACATGTAGATGGGGTTGACAGTAGTGACTGTGATCTGACATTCTGGAGCAATGCTCATGTCCTCTTTGCAGAACAACAACTGACCTGAAATAGCATAGGACAATAAGGATCATAGGCAGACATTCTACTTCCTGGCTTTTATGATTTCCTGAGATAATAGAGAAAGGTTTTGCCCCTCAGTGTCTGTCCCACATAAGCTCAAGAGAGCAGTAATTGTACAGACACATTTGTTGTACTAGCAGCCATCCACATCTTCAGACTGGCCCAGCAGCAGGTAGAGGTTGTGTCTCACTTTGGGCTCCCTGTCTGACCAGTCGGAGTTGAGGCCTTTCACCTCAGGCAAAGCAGCATCAATGCATGTAATACCTAAAGCTTGCTCACCACTGCATTGTATTGGAAATAAAAGTAGAATGTAAGAAGTTTCTCCCCGTATTTACAATTTTTCATTGCAATCAAAATATGATCTTGCACAGGTCAGGGCCATGTTTAGATTTGGTAAGAAATAGTGTAATTCTTTTGCTAGGTGTACTGTATTTTTTAAACTATGGATTGTAATCTATTAATGTATCATGAAATAAATTCAACGGGTCACAATCAAGATTCTTCTTAAAAATAAGAAGTGTATCACATTAGAATTCACTCCTGGTGTATATTCTGTGGGTTTGGACAAATGTATAATGAACAGTAGCTATCGTTATAGTGTCATAAAGATTATTTTCAGTGCTCTGTGTTCCATCTGTTCATCTACCCTACCTAGACACCTAGTAACCACCAGTCACTTTACTCTCTCTATATTTTGCCTTCAAATTCCAGACTTTAAGTCACCTCAGAACACAAGTCTTGAGGGACATGATTGAGGGCACCGGAATTACTACTGTTTGGTGCTGCTGACCTCAAGGTCACAGGCCGGCTACTGTAGCTCCATACACCACGTCCTTGTAACAGGAAGATAGGGTAGGAGGGTTCTTCCTGTTCTTGTTTTTTGTTTTTGTTTTTGTTTTTTTCCATCCATAAGACAGGACTTTCCAGGAAGACTCTAGGAGACATTCAGAGTAGGTGAAATATGCCTAAACTAGGAGGTCCCAGAGCACCAACTGACCCATACCTTACCTCACACCAACCTTGGCATAGGGAAAGGCTTAGAATCATTCCAGCTCATCTCCTAGGTTGAGCTGTTGATGTTCTTAGAAAGGTGATACTCAGTCAGAAAGGAGGAAGGAAACTGAATCTGGATTATGTCACAGCCTTGCTGCCAGGTGCCCCCTGGGCATGTTTTACTCTAGGTTTTGTTCAACCAGCCTTTACAAACAGTCAGGGCTCAGAAGCCAGGGACCATCCTTGCATCCTGGGCCGTTTTCTAGGATGTTTCCTTACCTATTGTCTTGGCCAACATGACTGCTCAGGAAGCTGTGGGCTGTAACTCTAGGTCTGCTCAAAAGTACGACCTGGAAGAGGCTATTTCTGATTATCAGTCTCCTTCATGATTCCTTGTCCTCCCTCAGATAAATAAAGCCTTTCACTGCAGCCAGGCACTGCTGTTTGCCGGCTCTGATCTTGGGTGGGTTACAGAGCCTTAGAGTGGTTTCCTTGTTTCTGTTGCATGTGGTAAATCAAAAGGGTTCTGAAAACCATAGGTGTTCATTGCCTACTCCCACCCTAACCTTGGGCTCAGATGGCACAAGTTCAGCATAGAACTTGCAGTGGGTATGTGTATGATGGCAGCTATTGTTGAAGTGTCAGAGCTGTTTCTCTCTGTTATTCATATATACAAAAGTATTCAAGTTCTACTATTTGTTATTTCTTGTATCAGGTGGTGATTACTCTGGCAAAGCAATGAGCTAAATGCATACCCCAGCTCACAGGTTCTAAGAATGCAATTCTTTCTTCTGGAGGAGCTTCAGGCCATGTCCATGCCCATTCTGCCAAGGACATTGGTCTCAGGATGCTTTCTCTGGACAGCTATCTCTACTCCTGTCCCCACCCCATTTCCTATTTTGTTTGAAGTTTACATAGTCTGGTGGCTGTGATAATGCTCTCAATTCATCTTTGCTTCCCTGTCTTACTTATGAGTGTTGACATTGTTTTTTCAGGCTGGAGTTTTGTGTTGATTTCCCTCCTCCCGCAAACACCTACACATACACAATGCATTTCTGTTTGGTAGATGTGATGCCTAACCCTGGTGGGTGTCCACCTCAGCCTCTGATAAAATCAGTTTTGTGTCAGTTAAATATGTCAACTGGCTGGCCTCTTCCAGTCTGGGATTCTGGTGTGAGAATTTCTAGGAATGCAGTGTCAGCTATCACAATTGGCTTACAGTGGCTTCCGGAGGACTCAGTGCTGATGGCATGTTTTGAAAAGGGAATTGTAGATGTCTCTCACAGATAGCTTTTCCTCTTTTCTCATGGCACTCACTCTCTGAGATCTTCATCTTTGGAGTTTCCCATTTTATTAGAAGATGAGATTGTTATTTGTCTGGCTTCTGGGAAATCAGTATAGTAGAAAGAACATGGTAATTTGGATTTAATAGTCTAGCTTTACCTCTTCTGCAAATTACTTCACTTCTGCCTCAGTTTCTTCTCTGTGAAATGGAGCCGGTGTTGCGGAAACAGCTGAGTTTGTGTATACATAAGAGAGCCTCAGAGAGCTGGGGCACCTTTGGATGAAATGCATAAGTGAAAGCTGCACAAGTTCTCTCATTTTTCGGGATCAGCCTAGGTTGGTTTCTACTTTTGCCAGAAAAATTATAATTCAGCAGCCAGCCTGTGCTAGGTTCCTTGTTGGTATGAGACTCTTAGCACCGGAATGCTCACAGAAGCTTGCATCCCACTTCTTTTCCCACACCCCAAGGTGCTAAGTGGGTTCTCTTCTTCCCTGGATGAACACCCAGTTACCCAACCAGGAGAGCAGCACCATGTGTCCGTCTCATTTAGTGAACCACTGAGAAGGTCATGGTGTGGTGGTGGTGGAAGGAGCTTTACCTCAGCCCAATAACAGAAGGCCAGCTTTGTTTTACACATTATGCGTAAAAAGTGATAAGGGCTTGGTGATGAATGTGATTCTTACACTGTAAGTGGTTATGTCAGTCTTATAGGGATGAGTAATTCTTAATCTGGGAAGAAATCTAAGTGGTGCTGGGAAAGTCATAACAGGGGAGTTTATGCCTCTCACCTCCAGAACAGAGTAGACTGCTGCTGCCTGTGGGAGGTGAGGTCCTTTGGGGGTCCATTTACTGCTTGGCATCAAGGACTGCCCCAACTCCCTAGCTGCCTAATAAGGTCAGGAAATTCCCTTAGTTGCTGCAGTTCCATCTAGGCCTAGAACACGCTTCCAGGCCCATTAGTGCTGACATCTCCGATGGGTTCTGACTTGCCTCCTGTCATTTCTCCTCGTTGCTCATATTACATCTGCCCTTTTTCACAGGGATGCTGGAAGATGGAAAGAAATTCGACTCCTCCCGGGACAGAAACAAGCCCTTTAAATTTATGCTAGGCAAACAGGAGGTGATCCGAGGCTGGGAGGAAGGGGTGGCCCAGGTATGCTCTCATTTATTTTGTTTTGTTCTTTGTTTCTACCCGTTAAGCTATTTTTATAGGAAAACGTTCATATGGTTTGAAAATCAAAAAAGGTTTCAGTCTCTCGCATCCACCCTTCCTTCCTGATATCCCCCGCAAATAATTATTAATGTGTCTGTGTTACAGTTTCTTTAAGTTATGCAGAAATGTACTTGTACTTGTTTTGCCTTTACACAGCAGAACTTTAAACATACCAGAGCATAGCAGCTGCACATGTACAGCTGCATAGTACTCCCTGGAGTGTGTTACAGTTTATTTGGCAGAGAACTAATGATGGCTGCTAGGGTCATCTCCAGTGTTTTTTTATTATAAAAAATGCCACAGTGGTTCATCATGTGTACTTTATTTTACATATATACAAGTGTTGCTGTAAAACTAAATTTTCCACAGTGGGAAGAGTGGCCCAAAGCTGCACGTACAGGTCTTGTCCTGTTGCCTTCAAGGGATTGCACTCTTTGAGCTACCACTGAAAGGCTGTAAAGGTGATGGCTCCACAGCCGCAACAGTAAAGTGCAGTATTCAACTTCTGGCCTTGGGACAATATGATGAATGGAAAATAGTGTATTATGTAGTTTTAGTTTGTGGCTCTCTTATTATTGATCATGTTACTTCTAATCACTTCTGAGTGGTCACACTGTGGAGAAAGTAATTTTGTCTTAAGTTTGTTTCCTCATCTCTTCCTTCCCATTTGTGGAAACAGCTTTGTTCTTGACCGAATTCCCAGAGACAGTAGGGGACCCAAAGTTGCCAAATTTCAGTTGGATTCTGTCTTTTCATCAAGCCGAGGAATTTTTTCTTGGCTTTAACCAGGTAAAGGGATGTTTACAGTGGGCTGAGACCCAGGGGTCTTTATAATTAGGCTGTGGATGATAGGTTTAGTCTTTTTCCCTTTCACCAAAGAGAAGAGGAGATTTAACCAAAGTAAAAGAAAAATTTGTCTCTTTTCCAGAATATATATCGCTCTACTTACTTTATAAAATATCACTGATTTATCTCCAAGTAAACTGCTAAACTTCGAGGAACTTTAAGCTTCCTCATTCCCAGGTGTCTAGATCTCTGCTTCCGCAGGGGAGAGGGTTGTCAGAACAGGGCAGAGACTATTGGTGGCCTCTTTCTCTTGGGAAACCTTGCCAGCCATATCACTTTGCCCTTGTGCTTATGATCAGGCCAGCTCTTGGGTCTGTAGCCCATCCCCCATCTCCCATGCCAGCACTGTCCACATGACAACTTATCTTCTGTGACTGTTCTGGCATTGGGATAGTGACTGTGTTGCACGGCCCAACTGCTATAGGTGCTACTGAGATAGCATTGTCAACCTAAGTGATATCCCAGGTTTTGAGGCATGACAGAATTGGGCACTGTCCAGATCCCTTTGCTTTGGAGTCAGATCCTTCAGCCCTGTCACTTAAGAGAAGATTAGGTAGTTTGAAAACTACATGAAACATCTTTTAAATTCTGCTGTATAGAGTATTGAGCTAAAGGCATAGGAAGAAGGGATTGTCTATGCCCCTTTTTGGTTTTACATGTTTCCATGTGCAACAAGTACAATTTTAACAGTTCCCTTTTTCATTTCATAATGTTTTTGGGAATCTTTCCATATTAATACATTAAAAGCTAGCTACTATTGTTAATATTAGGGATTGACTGAACCCAGAGCCTTCACTCTGAATTAAATCCCAGCACTTTCATTTTTTTATTTTGAGACGTGGTATCACTAAGTCATGAATTTGCTAGGCCATACTTTTGTTTTTTTTTTTTTTTTGTTTTTGTTTTTCTCCGGTACCGGGAACCGAACTCACGACCTTGCGCTTGCCAGGCAGACGCTTTTGCCGCTGAGCTAAATCCCCAGCCCCCTAGGCCATACTTTTAACGTGGAATTTTTTGCCTCTGTCTCCTAGAGTGCTGTGATTACAAGCATGTACCATCTTGCCTAAGTGCTACTGTATTCTTTCTAATGGCAAGTCTGTGGTGTGGACATGCCTATGAAACAGTCCCCTTGTGATGGATACTTGGCTTAGAATATGGTAGAAGTAGAAATGTTGAGACAAAAAATAGGATTGTTTTGAGTTTTATTGGAGAAAAGCCATATGTTTTTAACTGTCCTTACCACCTTGATCCAGCATGTCCCAGTTTCTCAGAGATGCTAAAGTATGGATCCTGAGTTGCAAGAGAAACTTCATTTTAGCCCAGAGCTTCCTTTTCATTTGTCATCTCCCATGCTGGGTCATGTGGAGACTAAAAAGTAAAACAGGTAAAGGATAGAAATATGACAGAAAGCCTATTCAGCATTTCAGAAAGTAGGTATTTACACTTCCTTTGTATTTGATTAGAAACTAAAAAAATAAACAAATGTATTTTTTTGAAGTAAAAATTTTCTCTCCGCCCTAGCCATGCTTCACACTACTGTCCCCACAGAAAAACACTGGGATCATTGGTGTCTTTCCAAAGATGTTTCCTGTGTATATAGCAGGTATAAATATGTAAGTTTCATAAATGATAGTGTGCTATTTTGTATTGCAAAACAATCATACTATTTTAAAGTTTCTCATTATAGAAGTGTAAACACAGAAATTACAGAAAAAAAAAAATAGATTATCCAAACTATGTTTTCTTTTAAAGCAAAGATTTGATCAAGGTACTGTCAGCCCTCTGTTCATTTTCCACATCCGTGGATTCAACCACATACCAAAAGTATTTCAGGAAGTCATCTGTGCTAAAACACATACCTTTTTCATCATTATTTCCTAAACAACAGATTATAAAAACTATTTACCTAGCATTTACATTACATTAGGTATTACAAGCAATACAGAAATGATGTGAAATATTCAAGAGGATGTGCAGAGGATATGCAAATATTCTATGTAAGAGATTTAAGCATCCACAGGTGTTGATGTCCTCAGAGGTCTGGAACAAATCCTTGATGAATACCAAGGGATGACCCTACTTCTTTTACTAGAAGGACATAAATGCCACTTAACCACATCTCTGAGTGACTGACCACTGAGGACTGGGTGAGGAAAGTTCTAGATTGTTACCTGCCCATTGTCCATCAGTAAGACCTGGTAGAAAGGTCGTAGGCCTTATCCTGTAGGGGGTCAAAAGGGGTTTTTCACTGCAGTTGGGACCCTTGGGGTCTGACTGCCAACTTCCAAGTCTTTCGTGGGTTGGGCAGAGGGGTCTCTGATACCTGAGAAGCTAGCTGCAAAGGTACTGGACTGTCCTAGCCAACACAACATTGTTCTGACCAAGAAACTTCCAAGTAAACCGCTCTGCTTCTGCAGAGAGACAGGGAATGTATCCAGCTGAGCATTTCTTCCTTGTTCTTTTCACAGATGAGTGTGGGTCAGAGAGCCAAACTGACTATCTCCGCAGACTATGCCTATGGTGCCACTGGGCACCCGGGCATCATCCCACCACACGCCACTCTTGTCTTCGACGTGGAGCTTCTAAAATTGGAATGACAGGAGTGGCCTCCTCCCTTAGCTCCCTGTTCTTGGTAAGAAAACAGTGCTGACGGGTCTTTAACTGCCTTTGCATCTCCCTTGTTATGCCCAGTGTTTTGTAGGTAGAGACCCACAAAAAAAAGAAAAAAAAAAGCCATAAGGACTTTTTCCCCTGCCTCCTTCCCCTGTAAGTCATCTCCCCGCCCAAATCTTTTTGAGGCAAGGTCTTGCTATGTAGTTCATATGGTCCTTGAACTCACTGTGTAGTCCAGGCTGGCCTTGAATTCATGGTGGTCATCCTGCCTCAGCCTCCTGAGTGCTGAGGTTATAGGTGTGTACATCCTGGCTAGAGCATCCTTTTAATGTAGCTGGTTACCCAGAGACAAGAGATGGCATATGTTCTGGAATGAATACATGAGAATGGCCGCTGTTTAGATATAAAGTGTTTTTATATGTAGCTTATTAACTGAGTTGGGGACTGTGGAAACACCAGCCACATGGCTAGTGTTGGCATTTTAGTTCTTTGAAAGACTTAATGACTTTGCTCTACCTCATGTTTGCAGATGCTACTAAGCCAAACACATCTGATGCAAGCGTGTAGTTTATGTGGCTTTCAATGTGTTAGCTGTATACCTAGTTACTGTCTGTTAGAAGTTAAGAGGGGGGCATTACTCTCTAGTCCACCTGCCTCAGGGAGCAAGCCCAGGACACTCAAGGCCAGCTTATTTTCAGTGAGTGGAGTGGAAAGATGAAGCCAGAGGATGCTTATGAAGTGTAAAGGATTCACTTAGGTCACATAGTCCTGGGAAGGAACCTAGGGATCTGAATCGGCCTTGTACAGCAGGTGAGGAAGCAGACCCAGGGAGAAAACCCTTCCTTGAGGTCACATGGAGGCTGTAGTAAAGGACCAGAGCCCCTTTCCTGACTTCCCTCTTCTACATTTACTTTTTTAGAAACCAAACAGTATCCTAGTAGGACATCCCTTTTTGTGTATGTATTAGAATCATGAAACACATAAATGCTGTCATCTGTATAGCTGTATACCTGGTTACTGTCTGTTAGAAGTTAAGAGGGGGGCATTACTGGGCCAAATGGCCCAGATTTTCTTATTCACTGCCCTCCTGCCCACAGAACCAGAAGGCCACAGCCAGAGACTGAGGACACTTGTTTGAAAGTGACAGCAAGTGGCTGCTAACCCCATAATGGTAGTCAGGCTTCTTAAAATGAGAGGCTCTTTTACTATTAGCAGTCTTTCCTCTCATTAGCCTGAGATGTAAATACATACTGAGGTAATACAGGGCTGACCAGGTTTGATAACTCTAGTTTCTTTGCTCATTATTTCTACCAGGAAGGAATTCTAGATAGTAGTCTCTGTCTGCCCGGAGGTCTCTACCTCTTCCTGTTCTTAGAGAGATGAATTATTTGAACATAAATGCACACAGGGAGCCTTGGAGTTATCTTTTTTGGGGATATTTTCTGTAAGCCTGATGGGATAGAGGAACAAAAAAGGAGAGAAAAGGGTAAGGGCTGCAAGTCACCCTGACTTAACTGTACTCCTGCCAAAAATCTCAGAGCTTCTTACGAAGATCTCAAAGGAAAGTCCCAAGGCAGTTGAGAATGTTGTAGGTTTGACTGAATGAATGAATACATTTTTCAGTCTATTCACCATGACAGATGACAAGGGCTGTGGTTCTCAGTCTGAATCCACTGGGTTATCTCCTGATATCCCACTACTTTTTGTATAAACATCTACCCTGACTGGGGGATGGGATTTTAGGCATTAAGATTTTTTCAAGCCCTCAGGTGATTCCTATATATAGCCAACTTGGAGACCAGAGATATTGGGGAGCTGTGCTGTCAGCAGTATGGGTCCATGTCTCCTGCTGTCCTCAGCAAGCTACAGTTCAACTTCAGGACAAAGGACTAAAACAAAATACATGGGCCAGTTTAAGTGGGAAGAAGTTGGCTCACCTGGGAACCCACCACCAGCCCATCTGGCTTTCTCTAGTGAGAAGAGAAATGATGTAGTCCCAGCAAGACCACTCAGCTGCTGGGGACAGGAGTTGGCATGGCAGATGGCACTGTGGCTCTCCTCATAAAGAACACTGAATTGCTGGAATTCAACAGATTTTCTGTCCCCAGCAGATCTGCTATGGAGGGATCCTGTGTCTCCAGATGCGTGCACATGAATCCACATGGAGCTTTTCCTGATATCCCACTACTCTTTGTATAAACATCTACCCCGACTGAATGTGTTCTGTCACTCAGCTTTGCTTCTGACACCTCCATTTCCTCTTCCCTTCCTCCTTGTATGTGTGTTTACCGAAACTACATGCCATAAACCTCAAGTTACTCATTTTGTTTCTGTGTTGGATGAAGATTCAGTTTCAGTCTTTTTGACCTAGTTTCCAATTAAGTATATTGTCAAGTATTAACAGCACAAGTGATGGGTTAAACTTTAGAATAGTAATTGGTGTTGGGGTATGGTTTGCAAGAATCTTTTTATTTTTTTGGATGAAATCTTTATCTATTATATATTAAACATTCTTGCTGCTGCGCTGCAAAGCCATAGCAGATTTGAGACGCTGTTGAGGGCTGAATTATTCTCCATTGTGAGAGACGTCCTTGGGTTAAGTTAAAAGCCCTACCCAAAACGAAGTGGGGAGGGGGAGAACCTTAGCCTCTGCCAGCCCCAGCCACCTCCTCTGAAATCTTTGCCTTTTGAAAGCAGGTCACTTTCACTGCGATGTTGGACACTACAGGTATCTGTCCCTGGGCCAGCAGGGACCTCTGCTGCCTTTTCATGACCTGCCCCCGCCCCCCGATCCTGTGGTTTTTTCTAGTGGATTTTCAGGACTTTTGTAATCTCGTAACTATCCAAGTTCCACTTCCTAAATTTTAAGAACTTCAATTGAAAGTTTAAATTGAAGGTGCTGTTCGTAGACTTATGACCCAATGAAAGCCCTGCCATCATGACAAATCCTTGAATGTTCTCTTAAGATAATGATGCTGGTCATCACAGCTTCAGCATCCCCTGTTTTTGGGTTTTCTTTGTTTTTGTGGGGTTTTTTGTTCTGTTTTTTATGCTTGGCTCTCTCTGCTGATCTCAGAGTTCCCTGGCTTTTCTTCCCTCAGTCCCTTCTCACCCTTTGCTGTCCTGTGTAGTGATTTGGTGAGAGATCATTGCTTTGTTCCCCACTCCACACACCCTCAGCAACACCCCTCCCCCATACCACATATGAGTTTCAAGTTTTATTATTGCAATAAAAGTGCTTTATGCTGGCTTTTCTCAGCTCTGTGTCATGGTGGTTACTGTCATGTGCCTTTCCTGCCATTTGGTGCTGAAGGGGGTAGCAATAGAGATGCTATCCAACATTGAATGTTAGCAGAACTGCAGTAGTGAACATCCTTCCCCACTGGCCACTGTGGGTTGGGTGAGGAGGAGGAGGTTTGGCCATAGATTCACATCAAAGGAACTGTCAGGTCAGGCTGGGATAGTCAGAGAGTACCCCTCCCCCCATCATCACATGTCTTTAACTATGTGTTCTGGTTGGAGCGCTGTGCCTGGTTCTTGGGTTACAAAGTGTGAGCTATATCCACCTCTCAAGAAGGAAGTCCCAGTGAAGTTGGAGAAATGCAGGAAGCAAATGGATGAAGAATTACAAAGGGCAGATTTTGGTTTTAAATTGTTCCTCAGTGACATTTGGTGTAGAAAGACTGCCTTGTAGACAGGCTGACTAATTACAATACCTTTCTTGGTCCTTTAGCCTGCATGTGCCAGTGTCATTCTTTCCTTACTGAAAGTTATGGAGGCTAGCAATTACTCCAACACTTTCAAAATTGCTCTGGTTGAGAATCATTGATTTTAAATAGGTTATTTAAAGACTTGATAAATGACTTTCTAAATCCTTTCTTTTGTTTTTATATTGCTGGAGTAATATTGCAGGGTCTTTTTTGTTTTGTCTTTTGGAGACAGGGTTTCACTATGCAGTACAGGCTGGCCTTGAGCTCACTTCGTAGCCCAGGCTGGTCTCGAACTCGCAGTGATCCTCTTGCCTCAGCCTCCCGAGTGCTGGAATTAGAGGCGTGCACCACCACACCTGGCCCTCGTATCTTATTTTCTCCAGAGTTCTTTTTTAAAATTTGTCAAACAGTGAAGAATTGTTTCGGGAAATACTATATTCTATTATAAACATATTGCTATACCTGTTTTTCAAATAAAAATATGTAGATACAAGTTGATGGACAGATACCATTCTTTTTTCACATTTCATAGTAAATGGCAAGCATCACTACTTCCCCAGTACATATCATAAACTAGTGTACAGTATTTACACTTTTGTACCACTATCAAAATGTAGAAAGTCATCTCAGGAAGGTCCCAATATTCTTTCTGCTAGTTAGTCCCCTTTGCACCTGCAGAGGCAGCAATTGTTTGGATTTTTTTCTCATCAGATTGGTGTTACCTCTCTCCCTCTCTC